AAATAAAACCACCTTCTGCCTGTGCCCATGGGTCCCCCCTCCCTACTCCTCCCTGTTCAGTGGGAGCCCAGGCCCAGGCCCCGATGGGTGGTTGATAGATCTGTCCTCTCCATGGGCCTCCCTTCTTCCCTCTGCTCCCTCCTTTCGGGGATGGCTCTGCCTAAACACAGCTCTGTCTGCACTCTCAGCTGAGAACGCCTCCCGGGCTCTCACTGGTTCTGAATAAAGACTGAACTCCTTCATCTACTGTTCTGGGCTTTTCATGGTCTGATCTCCCCTCCCTACTCCCTAGCTTCAGCTCTGCGTGTCCCCCTCTCTTAAAAGGACTTGTGTTCTAAGATGCTCCAGTCTTTCCCGCTCCTTCAGGCTTTTCACAATGATGATGTTGATGATGATGATGATGGTAATGATGATGATGGTGATGGTGATGGTGATTATGATGGTGATGGTTATAATGATGGTGATGGTGGTGATGATGATGGTGATGATGATGATGGTGATGATATGATGATGATGATGATGATATGATGATGGAAGTGATGATGGTAAGGGTGATGGTGATGATGATGGTGATGATGATGGTGATGATATGATGATGATGTTGATGGAGGTGATGATGGTGATGGAGGTGATGATGGTGGTGGTGGTGGTGATGATGATGATGGTGATGGTGATGGTGATAATGATGGTGATGGTATGATGATGATGGTAATGATGATGATGATGATGTTAATGGAAGTCATGATGGTAATGGTGATGGTGATAATGATAATGGTGATGATGATGATGGTGGTGATGATGATGATGATAATTATGATAAGGAAGAAGGTGGTGACTGGGTCATGAGATATTGAGGCAGAGGAAGGGACAGCTTCTTCAGAGTACAGAGCCAGCTGCCAGATATGGACCAAGTGCCAGGCACATTCTGAGCACTGGATGAGGACCTGATAAATGACAAGATGTGAGCAATTCTAGGGCAGGACGTTTGTCCCATTCACTCCCTTTTGACCCCTCAGGCCTACAAGAGCGCTTGGCACACAGCAGGTGCTCAATACTTGTTTGTTGGGTGAATGTAGAGCCAGGTGGGAGCAGGAGCCCAGGGTTCCATCCGCCCACTGGTGCTGGCCCTGAGCTGGCCCTGTGAAAAGGGGAAGCCCTCCCTGTTGGGCCTCTCTCCCCGGGCATGTGGAGTGGGTAGGCCGTGCTCTGGGGGGAGCAGCGGCCAAGGGCATGGGGGGGCAGCTGCAGAGAAGCCATTTCCCCTTTGCCCTGCAGATCGCCTTTGTCCCTGCTGACTCTGAATTCCAAGGCGTCCTGTCCCCAAAGCCGCTGGGCTTGCTGGAGAACGGACTCACTGCCGAGATGAAGAGGTAGGTGCTGGGCCCTCTGTGCTTGGGAGCGGGGAGGAGGGTGGAGCAGTGACCCCCTCAGTGGGGCAGTGAGCAAGTCTCCCCTTAGGGAGGAGAGTGAGGGAGTGGGGTGGAGGGTGGACAGTGTCTCCGCCCCTGGCTCCAGGCCTTCCCACTCTACTAAGAGCAGACTTAGAAATCACGGATTGTTCTGAACTCTCAATTCCGTGAGGCAAGCATTATCATTCCGATGAGGAAATGGAGGGTCAGGACTTTATCCTGTCTTTCAGTGAACTAGTGGCAGACCAAAATCAAAGTCAGGTTTGACCCTAAGTCCCAAAGAGCTGTGACCACGACTACAGTAAACAAGGGGCATGAGGATGACCCCGGCACAGCCCAGGGCTCTGCCACTGTCCGCCGTGTGACTTTGGGAAAGTGATATGCCTCTCTTTGCCCCTCTGTAAAATGGGGATATTAATGGTACCTTCTTCCAGGGGGGTCCATGATATAATAATATAAGCAAAGTGCTAAGAACAGAACCTGGTGCATGGTAGGCCCTTGGTAAGTGCTTGTCATCATTAGTGAGAAGAGTCTCCCTTGCATCACAGGTGACTCAGACATGCTGCCCCCACTTCCTCCTCCAGTCCTCACAGGAACCCTGTGATGGGGAGCAGAGGGGTGTCCAGCCTTTTATACAGACGTGGAAACTGAGGCTCAAGAAGTGTAAGCACAAGCCTCAAACCCACAGGCAGTCGGTGACAGATCACACCAGCCCTGCTTTTGTCTCTGAAGGCGGCAAGCCGTGGCTCGCTAGGACATGGCAGGGAGCCCATCAGCCTGGGAGAGACAGGGGACCGGCCGCCCCTTCCGGCCCCCGGAGGCTGTAATTCCGTGCTCAGGAGGCCTGGTGCAGATCCAGGGTCCAGCTGGGCTCTTGAACGCTCCCTGCTTTGCTTGGGGAAGGAAGTCCTGGTGGCATTTTATGTTCTGACACAGAGCGACCAAATGTTCTGGGGAATGAGATGACAGACCCTGGGTGGACATGGGGCCAGCCTCAGGACCGGTCGCATGGGGAGAGCAGCTGTGACAGAGCCCAGGCTTGTGCTGCCCGAGTTCCGGGCTCCTTCCCGTCACTTCTCAGCCATGGGACCCTGGCAAGGGACCTAGTCTGTGCGTTTCACTGTCTGGAGGGACTGTAGGGAGCAGCAAGAAACGTGATGTCTGAGCCCCAGCACCAAGCCCGCTAGTCTCCGTGCCTCAGTTTCCCTCAGTACCTCCCAGAGTTAGGGAGAGGATCGGAGGAGCTGCCTGACAGAGCCCGGCAGACAGAGAGCAGCTAAGGACTGCTGCTATGTCCTCACTGGGAAAACGAGAATGATTATTCTGCTTAAAGGTGTTCAGAGTAATCATTCTGGTTTTTCCAGCGAGGACACAGCATAGCCTGTTGAACCCAGTCACCTCAGTCCACGGGAATGGTCTTCCTTTTACGGTTGCTCCTGGGGTTAACTTTGGAGATTCAGAGTGAAAGGAGCCCTGGGCTGAGGGGCCGAGCTCTGCCCCCTCCCTACCGTGCTGGGCCTCGGGCTCCCCATCCATGCACGAGGCACATGATGGCCCCGAGGGCCTCTTGGAGATCAGGGAGCACTGGTGGCCAGAGCAGGGGGGCCAGGGGACAGCTCTGATGTCTGCCGAATGAATCCTTGCCCACCTGCCTGTTCTCTCTCCTGCTGTCTGCCGTGCCCCCAACTAGCCCCCAGCCCCCCTACGTCAGGCTGTGGGAGGAAGCTGCCTATGACCAGAGCCTGCCTGACTTCAGCCACTTCCGGATGAAGGTCCTGGGCTACAGCGAGGATCCCCGCCCCCTGCTGGCCCCTGAGCTGGGGCGGCAGCAGCTGGAAGCTGGTGACAGAGGGGAAGGTGGCCCTCGCGATGCTCAGGCCTGGATGCAGGCTGCTGTGGTCGTCCACAGGGGCTCGGATGAGGACGAGGGAGAAAGAAACCCAGCTCAGAGCAGTCCCCGGTGAGTGTGCAGAGCGCAGGAGTGGGGATGCTGCCCACTTCCGGGCTGAGGAGGGGGATGTGGGCCATGCGGGGTGGTTGGGTACATATGGGAGTCGAGAGGGCAGTGGGGGTGGGGCACCCAGAAGACAGCAGATGTAGCAAATGCATGAATCTGAGCTTAGACAGGCCTGGGTTCAAATCCCAGCAGCACTGCTGTATAACCTTGGCAAGTTTCTCACCCTCCCAAGCCTCAGTTTCCCCACATGGGAATAATCCCTCCTACCTCTGAGGGGCATTGTGGAGATGGAACAGTGCACTTAAGGGTCAGCATACCATAGACCTCTGCACTGAATGCTTGTCCTGTGTGGTGGGGGGCATGGAGCCGGAGGACCTGAGTTCAAATCCAGACCCTGCCCCTGATGTGCTCGTGACCTCGGGCAGGTCACTCCCCTCCCCACCCACCCCTGGGTGCTTATGAATTGGGTTCGTTATTCATCCATTTACCCCTCCTACCACTGTTCCTGGGCACCTGTCCCTGCCAGGCCTGATGGCCCCACCCTGCAGGAGCTCTTGGTCCAATGGGGGAGACAGGTGAGGGAGCAGAGGGTGACACCTAGTGAGCTGGGGCTGAGGGCCTAGAGGAGAATCCTGAGTGACTGGAGAAGTGGAGGAATGACCTGGTTTGGATAACATGATAATGGCTCATTTCTTGAGCACCTACTAGGTGCCAGGCATTATGCAAAGTGCTTTGAACACATGATCTGCTGTAAACCTCAGAGACTCCAGAGGAGTGAATACTCTTATTTCCTCCACCGTACAGCGGAGGAAACTGAGGCCTAGACAGGTGGGCTCACCTGCCCTGGCCTTGCAGCCAGTGGTGGAGGTTTACACCCAGGCAATCTGACTCAAGCTACCCTTGCTCTCTCTGGCTTTGTCCCTGCAGTGCCCCAGTCTCTCCCCAGGGTCCTGCACCTTTGGCTTCCTTCCAAGATGAAATGGATGTGGGCTCCAGTGAGGGCAGCAGCCCCAACCCGTCTCCGCTTGATGGGGAGGAGCCTGGCCCCCCTCCAGGGGAGCCCTGGGCCTGCAGGTGCCAGCTGGACCGCTTCCATGACTTCGCTCTGATAGATGCCCCCGCGTCGGAGGACACACCTCCAGCGGGACAGTGGCGGGACGCAGCCCTCCCCAGCTACTGGCAGCGGTCCCCGAGGACGAAGGAGGAGGACGAGGCTTCCGACTCAGGTGCAGAGGAGCCAGAGCAGGAGGAGGAGGACTTGTACTATGGGCTGCCAGACAGCCCTGGGGACCCCCTCCCGGACAAGGAACTGGGCTTTGAGCCCGATGCCCAGGGCTTAGATGGAACTGCCCCTGGGTGCTAGCCTGGCACAGCACTAGCCCTGTGTGACTTCACAGGGCCTCAATTCCCCTCTCTGCAAAAGGGGGTTGCCTGGAGGTTCAGATGAGACGGTGGGTCCTGCAGCACCTAGAGGACCGTAAAGGACGCAGGAAGGGGCGATGGTTTTCGATGGATCCTGGCCACTCCGTTGTTACTTTGGGGGGTTAGGGCTTTGAAGGTGAATGTGATTCACTTAGACGATCGGCAGCAGCTGGGGCCTCGGAGTCTTCTCTGCCTCCCCCCAGAGCTGCCTCTGACCAGGTGCCCCCTTGGGGCTACGCTGGCTCTCCGATCCCCCGTGAAGGCCTCTCAGGGTG